TCAGAATAGAGTTTTATATATATATCAACATTGAAGTTGCTGTTTAGTGGATAGGTGAGTGCGCTGGATCTTGTGTATTGTATTATTTGGCCCCCAGCAGCACCCCCATTTATGCATGTTAAGGTGAGTGCAGCCAACCCCCTCTTGTTTTATATATATTTGGGAGTCTAGCCAACTCCTTGGTTTTGCACCCCTCCCTGTCACAGGTGCCTCATCCCAGGGCCCTATTTAGCCTTGTACTGCAGAGAGCCCCAGATGGAATTTTTTTTCCCCAAGTAGGTTAATCTCATAAGAGCAGACATTAGGCTGTTAGTGTAGGACCTGCCAAAGATGGGGTACATTGACGTTGTGGCAGGCTTATGCAATGTATGATCATATAATGTAACTAAACCCCCATTATTCTTGCCTAGATTAGGTGTTTTTAAAAAAACAAAATCTTTCAACATTGAAGTTGCTGTTTAGTGGATAGGTGAGTGCGCTGGATCTTGTGTATTGTATATATATATATATATATATATATATATATATATATATATTGTATGGTGTCTATTTACATACAGTACACTTCCCTCGATGAAAGAAAACATCTGGTATAAATATATGTTATTTTGTCAGGCTTGCAAATACAATGTATACATGGAATCTTATAAATTAGCACAAAGGAACTCTGACATGCATGAATTGTTGAGTAATCAATGTAAACATCTCTCCCAAGGAATTTACACCAATATTCCAAGTGATCGTGCCATTTAAAATGTATTTTTTATAAAAATTTATGTATGTATATACAGTATATAAGTACAATGTATATAAAACATACTTCCTAACCCCTCTTACTGGTATGTTTGTGTATTCCTCATTCTTGGATCCTCTTCCAGTTGCTTGCAACTCTAAGGATTCTGCACAGTATCTTTTTTTCTGGAACTGCAATCTTCTTCCACACCGAATCCACTGAAGCCACTCTCACAATTTGGAAATTACTGCCCCAAGGGTTCCTATCACAACTATGATTACTACTGTCTTCATTTGCAACAACCTTTCTAGTTCCTTTTTCAGTCCTTTGTATTTGACCACATTGTCCTGTTCCTTCTTCTTGATCATATGGTCACTGGGTATTGTTACATTGTCCCTGCTAATATCTTGCACCCAACTATTATGTGATTGATTAACACAGAGTAAATCTTCTTTGGATGCAAAACACAATGCAGATGCTAGTCTGTTCAAATTTGGAGCAATTTGTCGTGTCCCAACACAGTGGAGAGGAGGAGACTAGTAAGACTTAAAGAACTAGGGAGAAGGGAGATAAGATGGATCTTTCAATTAGACACATTATGCCCCAGTGGCCTAAAAGCATACTTCACACACTTCACAGCACTCTGATTGGTTGGTTTGAATTCCCCAATCAGAGAGTTATGAGTCAAATTACACAGCGTGGGAAAATTCCAAAGAACTTTCCCACGCTATGTAAAATGACACAGAGCACTCTGATTGCTTAGCTGTCAGTCTCTTCATTTACCTGTCAGAGCACTCTGATTGGATGGCTTAAACCCATCAATCAGAGTGCTCTGAGCCTAATTGCAGGGCGGGGCAAGGCTTTATAAGCCTTGCCCCGCCCTGCAGAGCTCAGTCTGCACGGAGTCCTCGCTGGGTGAAGATGGATTCTTTTTTTTGCACTCATTTTTTTAGGTCCTCCCCCCTCATTCTAATTTAGGGCCCCACCCACCACTCAGGGGTGGGGGCAGGGGGGAGGACATTAGGTCCCCCCCTAATTTGTATTTTAGGGCCCCCACCCAGGCTCAGGGGTGGGGGCCAGGGGGGAGGACATTAGGTCCTCCCTCTCATTCTAATTTAGAACCCCCACCCACTGCTCAGGGGTGGGGGCCAGGGGGAGGACATTAGGTCCTCCCCCCTCATTCTAATTTAGGGCCCCCACCCACCACTCAGGAGTGGGGGCCAGGGAGGAGGACATTAGGTACCCCCGCAATTAGTATTTAGGGCCCCCACCCACTGTTCAGGGGTGGGGGCCAGGGGGAAGGACATTAGGTCCCACCCATTGCTTTACTTTAGGGCCCCCATCCGCCATACAGGGGTGGGGGTGGGGGAGGCAATAGGTCCCTCCTTCAGGTTAGGAGCGGGAGAGGGGACATTTTTGTTTTATGTTTTTTTACAGTGAGCAGCCACAGGCTGCTCACTGTTTAATAGACATGCCCCTACTCGCAGTATAGCGAGTCGGGGCAAAATTTACTAATACTAAGTAATCTTTATTTAATATTAGTAAATTTGGCTGAAAGACCAATTCATGTCATTACACTGACTGGCCAAGTAACTTACATTTTATATAAATGTATGTTACTTGATTGTTGTAAGGGTTGCAAAAGCAGCTGAATCCAGGCTATGTTTGTATACTTTTTATTTAAAATTGTATACAGTGTAACATTCTTCTTCTTCCACTGGATAAGTATATTAGTACTTAGGCAATACTGTGCTTTGAAACTTTGGCAATTCGGCACTTCGGAACTTCGGCAACTTCGGAACTTCGGCATTTCAGCACTTCGGAACTTCGGAAATTCAACACTTCAGAAATTCAGTAATTTCGCAACTTCGGGACCTCGGTAATTTGGCACTTCGGCAATTCGGCACTTCAGCTGTTCGGACATTCGGAAGTACCCAAATGTCCAAATTGCCCAAAATTCATCCAAATTCATATTTGGCTCGAAACGAATTGCACATGTCTATTGATTTCCTGTTGGTAATTGGTAAGATTAATATATAGGAAAAGGTTTCCTGATTGTACAAGGTTTAATTTCCTGTTGGTAATTGGTAAGGCATTTGATTTGATTAGCTAGGTGCTTGCTATTGATTGTTGGTTAATTAGCTATTAATTAAGCATTGGCCTACCCAGGTGTTAAACATTCCTAGTGGGTGGTGCTTTTATGAGTTACATAATGGTTGTGGTCATTAACTTGGCTAATATAGCTTGGTTGTTACATCTAAGTGCTGCTTCAAAGTGTGTGATTGGAGATAAACTGGAGTTAATCTGAGGTATACATGAATAGAAAATAAAAAAAAAGTAAGATTTGTTTGATTTAAATTATTCACCTCACTAAAATGGCAGACTTAGTTCAATGTAATAGTTGCTATGCATTTGTTTCATTTTACACTTTTTGGAGAGTTGGATGCTGTCTAATCTGTAGACAGTACTCAATATTGTGGCAGGAGATTGTATTTTTGAAGTCTGAGATTTGTAAATTATCTAGTAAACAAACTCAGGCTGGAACTGCTGCAAAGCCACTGCCGCAGAGACTTACTAGGAATGGCAGATGGATTACCATAGGATCTGGTAGACTTACTTAGTCATATTACACAGTATGTTGCTTTACATAATTCATTTTCAGCACTTTCAGAGTGCAATGGTGTTATACAGGCTCAGGCACCAAGGGTAGTGGTGTTATGGAGACAAGCTCAGGCACTGAGAATAGTGGTGTTGTGGAGACAGGCTCAGGCACCAAGTGTAGTGGTGTTATGGAGACAGGCTCAGGCACTGAGGGTAGTGGTGTTGTGGAGACAGGCTTAGGCACCAAGTATAGGAGTGTTGTGAAGAAAGGCTCAGGCACCAGGTGTAGTGGTGTTGTGAAGACATTCTCAGGCACCAAGTGTAGTGGTGTTATGGAGACAGGCTCAGGCACTGATGGTAGTGGTGTTGTGGAGACAGGCTCAGGCACTGAGGGTAGTGGTGTTGTGGAGACAGGCTTAGGCACCAAGTGTAGGGGTGTTGTGCAGATGGGCTCAGGCACCAGGTGTAGTGGTGTTGTGGAGACATTCTCAGGCACCAAGTGTAGTGGTGTTATGGAGACGGGCTAAGGCATTGAGGGTAGTGGTGTTGTGGAGACAGGCTCAGGCACTGAGGGTAGTGATGTTGTGGAGACAGGCTCAGGCACTGAGGGTAGTGGTTTTGTGGAGACAGGCTTAGGCACCAAGTGTAGGGGTGTTGTGAAGACAGGCTCAGGCACCGGGTGTAGTGGTGTTGTGGAGACATTCTCAGGCACCAACTATCGTGGTATTACGGAGACAGGCTTGGAGACTATGGTGAGGTCTAATAGAAAGCAGTTGTTGTTGGGGGACTCTATCATAAGAGGTGTGGAGCTGGACAATAGCTACTGCTCACAGAGACAGGAGACATATTTGTAATATTGTTAAGCGAGCAAAGCAGGTAGGGGAATTGGGTGTACTTTTTCATCTAGGGACAAATGATTTGGCTTGCAATGAGGTTTCAGAGGTAAAGGAAGTTTTTTGTGTTTTTGTCAATGAAATACGGCAGGTTGCTTCCACACTGTCATTCTCTGAAGTTCTGCCTGTGCATAACACTCATAACGACAGGCAGATGTGTATTAGGGACTTTAACTTGTGGCTTGGTGAATGGTGTCAGGAGCAAGGATTTGGCTTAATTTCTCATGGTAGCTCTGTTTGGAAAATAAATTAACTGTACAAAAAAGATGGTTTGCATCTTTCTCAAAAGGAAACAAATGTTCTCAGTGAGCAGTTCAGAGGTTTTGCTAGGATGTATTTAAACTAAGAGGGGAGTGGCAAAAGAGTGATAAAACATCAATCCAATTGCCCCCCCAAAAAAGGACAGAAGGTGCCTGTAGCAAGTGTGTTAAAAAATGGTAAGTTGGGGGCATGGCCTGGCATCTAAACAGCATGGACACACGTCTGTGAATCTCCTGAACCTGGAGTGAAACGTAGCAACAAATAACCAGTCTGCAAAGCACCAAATATCCCCAAAGTACGGGAAAAGCCGCAGCATGGCACAGAGGCAAAAAGCTAAAGCAGGCAGAGCGTAATTTTTTCTCACTAAACTGGCAGCACCAAAAGCGCGAGAAGGCAGCAACCTGTTCAAAGATGGCGGAGTGCTATACACCAGAGAGAATTCAGTCTCTCCACCAGCCTCCCTAAGCTCGATACCGGATGAGAGGCCACTGGCTGCGGCGATCATGCGCCAAATGATGGCAGAGTTCTCCGAAAACATACAAGCCAACCTGCGGACACAAATCCACACACTTTCAACTGAATTCAGGAAACAACTACATGAAGTGGGCCAACGTACTTCCCAGGTGGAAAAGAAGATGGACAAGTTCGCTGAGGCCCACAACAGCCTTGCAGACAAGCTCCAAGAGATGGAGGCAGCTCTGAAACTAGCAGATATTAAGGAATAACCTGCGTATAAGAGGTATCCTGGAGTCGTTCCTCCCTTCTGCACTCAATGCTTGCCTGCTGGACTTCTTCCACCCGGACCAACTACTCATCGACAGGGCCCATAGACTCCGACGCCCTCAGCATCTACCCAACAGGGCAGCTAGAGATGTGATCGTCCAGGTACACTTCTTTCATGCTAAGGAGAGGCTGGTGCGGGCCTGCAGGGCAGCGGAGATGCTGGAACCCTACCAATCGCTGAAGATCTTCACAGACCTCTCAGCCGCGACCCTCCAATTTTGGAAGTGCATGGCGCAGCTCACAGCTGCACTAAGAGCCCAAGGAGTACCATACATGTGGGGATTCCCTGCAAAACTGCTCATCAACTACAAAGACAGTGTTCACAGAATCTCCTCTCTCTCGCGAGAGGAATGCTCCAACAAAGTGCCGAAGGATGTCACCAGACTGGACACTCACCTGAACGCGGCCCCACTGCAGCAAGTATCTGACACACATGGCAAACTAGTGCCACACCTGTCAATATATATATATATATATATATATATATAGCAAGAGTTTACAATCTCCCACTGTACAGAATTAGATATATAACTCCTGTTTCATATACTGTTTAATGTACTGCCAAACCGATATGCTGATTCCACCATCTCTGTCACTCTGCAGGGCTAATGTTACATCCCTGGTTTCAGACACCAACAGGCTAGTACTGGGGCTTGCTAACTACTACTGTTCAATATTACTGTTGCGTTTCTTGTTTAATGTGTTGATAGGCCCTGGCGCTGAGCCGAACGCCCTCTTGCTAGTTCTAGGGTCATTTATTCAAGGTCTTGCCTGTGGTTTGATGCCGGGGTAGAGCACCCCCCATGCAACCTGACACTTTACTCCGCGAACTACTTCCCCCTTTTCCACCCTCCCCCCATCTGCCTTGCCCAGAAAATAGGACCCCACATCATCAGGCATCACCGAATGTTACTAAAGACCACACAGGGTTATGTATTGGCTATGTAAGCCCACTCCGATGTGAAATGAAAAAAAATTAAATATATATATTAAAAGAGCTTAGTGGTGTACTAGCAAAACCATTAACAGATTTATTTAACCAATCATTGTTAACAGGAGTAGTCCCAGAAGATTGGAAGTTAGCGAATGTTGTGCCCATTTACAAGAAAGGTAATAGGGAGGAGTCGGGCAACTATAGGCCAGTAAGCCTTACTTCAGAAGTGGGGAAAGTGATGGAAACCATGTTAAAGGATAGGATTGTTGAACATCTAAAACACATGGATTTCAAGATCAGAGACAACATGGGTTTACTTCAGGGAGATCATGCCAAACTAATCTTATTGATTTTTTGATTGGGTAACTAAAATTATAGATCAGGGTGGTGCAGTAGACATTGCTTACCTAGATTTCAGTAAGGCTTTTGACACTGTTGCACATAGAAGGCTTATCAATAAACTGCAATCTTTAAGTTTGGATTCCAATATTGTTGAATGGGTAAGGCAGTGGCTGAGTGACAGGCAACAGAGGGTTGTAGTTAATGGAATATATTCGAAGCTTGGACTTGTCACCAGTGGGGTACCTCAGGGATCTGTACTTGGACCCATTCTCTTTAATATTTTTTATTAGTGATATTGCAGAAGGTCTTGATGGTAAGGTATGTCTTTTTGCTGATGATACTAAGATATGTAACAGGGTTGATGTTCCAGGAGGGATAAGCCAAATGACAAATGATTTAGGTAAACTAGAAAAATGGTCAGAATTGTGGCAACTGACATTTAATGTGGATAAGTGCAAGATAATGCATCTTGGACGTAAAAACCCAAGGGCAGAGTACAGAATATTTGATAGAGTCCTAACCTCAACATCTGAGGAGAGGGATTTAGGGGTGATTATTTCTGATGACTTAAAGGTAGGCAGACAATGTAATAGAGCAGCAGGAAATGCTAGCAGAATGCTTGGTTGTATAGGGAGAGGTATTAGCAGTAGAAAGAGGGAAGTGCTCATGCCATTGTACAGAACACTGGTGAGACCTCACTTGGAGTATTGTACACAGTACTGGAGACCGTATCTTCAGAAGGATCTTGATACCTTAGAGAGGGTTCAGAGAAGGGCTACTAAACTGGTTCATGGATTGCGGGATAAAACTTACCAGGAAAGGTTAAAGGATCTTAACATGTATAGCTTGGAGGAAAGACGAGACAGGGGGGATATGATAGAAACATTTAAATATATAAAGGGAATCAACACAGTAAAGGAGGAGACTATATTTAAAAGAAGAAAAACTACCACAACAAGAGGACATAGTCTTAAATTAGAGGGACAAAGGTTTAAAAATAATATCAGGAAGTATTACTTTACTGAGAGGGTAGTGGATGCATGGAATAGCCTTCCAGCTGAAGTGGTAGAGGTTAACACAGTAAAGGAGTTTAAGCATGCCTGGGATAGGCATAAGGCTATCCTAACTATAAGATAAGACTAGGGTCTAAAGAAAGTATTTAGAAAATTGGGCAGACTAGATGGGCCGAATGGTTCTTATCTGCCGTCACATTCTATGTTTCTATGTTTCTATGTTTCTATATATATATGTTATATAGCAAGAGTTTACAATCTCCCACTGTATAGAATTAGCGATATAACTCCTGTTTCATATACTGTTTAATGTTCTGCCAAGCCGATATGCTGAACCCACCATCTCTGTCACTCTGCAGGGCTAATGTTACATCCTTTGTTTCAGACACTGACAGGCTAGTACCATGACTTGCTACCTACTACTGTTCAATGTTAATGTTGACTATCTTGTTATGGGCTGATAGGTCCTGGAGCTAAGCCAAACGCCCTCTTGCTAGTTCTAGGATCATTTATTCAAGGTCTTGGCGCCAGGGAAGGGGACCCCACATACAATACAAATGCAAACTGACACTTCGCCCTACAAGGTATTTCTCCTTTTCCCCCCTTTTTCCCCTCCCCCTTCTGCCTTACCCAGACGATAGGACTCCATATCACCAGGCATCACCAAATGTTACTAAAGACTACACAGGGTTATGTATTGTCTTAATAAGCCCATTGAGACCTCTTAGTATTAGGTATTGGCTATGTAAGCCCTCTCTGATATTATAAAAAAAAAAAAAAAAGTTTGCCCGTAACTCTGTACCGATCCATTGTTCAATAGTTATACAACTTGCTCCTCTGCTCCGAAGGTGAGCTACCACCACTATGTTGACGCTCACTGCCACGCCCCCTGACATCAGGATCCAAGTTCACCCTGTCGCTCTCTGGTTCTCTTTAGGTGAACCTAGTTGGGTATTTTACCCCTAATTTTTTTTACCCCACGCACCCCTATTCCCCCCTCCTACCGTACCTTCCCCATCCATCCTCACAAGAAGCAGTATGGTTGACTCACGACCCCTCTCTATATTTAAAGAGACTCTGAACCCTGACCCCCCAGGAGCTAGAACCTCTGCACCCCTGAGGGTACAACGGATATCACATGTCCTCGGAGAATAACAGCTGTTATATGCACCAGCCTATCTCCACTCCCAGACTCGGGAGAAACAGGTGACCCATATACAGGTTCTTACACACAGTCCACCCCCGCAAGACCCAATCTAACCCACATCCCCAAGTATGAAAATTGTCACCTACAATGTTAGAGGGTTTAATACTCCGGGTAAACAAAGACTTTTACTTAAAGATCTCACGAAGAACAATATTGACATTGCATGTATACAAGAGACCCACTTTAAGAGGGGTTACACACCAGCCCTATTCACCAAACATTACTCAGTCCAATACCAATCCCTATCAAATAGTAAGACTCGAAGGGTCTCCATCTTTATACACAGGGATGTTGCCTTCCAGCTCCAGCAGCAACACATAGATCCCGACGGGCGGTACATCATACTCCTGGGGCTTTTCAATAATCTTCAATATACATTGGCCATGGCCTATTTTCCTAATGAAAACTCTAAAAATTATCTCCACTCCTTGCTTAACAAAATAGACAAATACAAACAAGGCAGTCTACTACTGTGCAGTGATTTTAACTTCACACAGACCAGCCTTGACACATTGGCCCGGACCACAAGCCTTACCCACAACACCAGGGAACAGGTGGCTAAAGCACTAACCAAACCCATATCCCTCTATGACCTATATGATGCATGGAGGACACTCCATCCCACCGAAAGGGATTACACGTTCTATTCCAGAGTACACAACTCTTACACTCGAATAGATGCTTTTCTGGTGGACAGAGCTGCCCTAGCCCAACTCTCTAGATGCATCATAGAAGAGATCACCTGGTTGGACCATGCCCCAGTCATTTTGGAACTGTTTGACCAGTTCCAATTCAAAGGGAGAGGGACATGGCGTCTCAATGACTCCTTGCTCTCGGACCCATAATTTATAGCTACTATCCGTGGCAAAATCCAGGAATACTTTAGGACTAACGCAACACCTGAAGTGACCGACTCCACTGTCTGGGCCGCCCATAAGGTGGTCATTAGAGGCCTATTGATACGCCGCTCGTCCTTTCTTAAAAAACACGAAACCGCTAGCATCCTAGACTGTCACAAACAAATTGCACTTACGACCTCTCTAAATAAAACACAACCCACAGGTGAGCTGGCAAATAAACTGTCCAAATTGTATGACCGCCTAGCGGAACTAAACATGGAAAAGACCAGACACATGCTACACAAATTGCTAGCTAACACATACCACACTAGTGGCAAGGCGTTAAAATACCTGGTATCTAGGCTCCGACATAAATACTCCACTAACAAGATAACCCACTTCATCAATGATGAAGTAGGTGAGAAACTCACAAACCCAGGGGACATTACCCAAGAATTTGCGAAATTCTATTCCAAACTCTATAACCTACACCAAGACACAAAGGTGCACAACCCGAATGACATAGGCATCTCCCAATACCTGTCCATCATTCAGCTTTCCCACATCTCTCACGCTCACACTGAGCATCTCCTACAACCAATAACAC